TAGAAATCATAAATCTCGTGACAGATGTTGCTTCCACGGCAACTAATCATCTCACGTGGACATCGTGAGTTTTATTCCTGATTGACAGAATCGAATTAATAGAATTCAATAGTTGTTAGACCGTGGATATTTATGCGAATTGGTTTACTTGGCTTTATTTCTCAAATTTCTTCGCGAAAATACATAGAACGTTTGTCAATTTACAAATTGAAAACATCTGACTGCGGTCGTTTTTTTTATAAGCCTCCTCGATTATTAGCGATTCTTGTCGAGAAATACTTGCAGCGAATTGTTCGAATAATTCAACGTAACAACGTCCATTAATTTTTACTTACGATTAGCGATAGTTGAGTGGAACTAGTTCGACACGTTTTATACATTATTCGAATCTTATATCCCGATTCTTATATCGATCGAGAAGTAACGAACGAAAAAAAAAAAAAAAAAAAAAATGGAATATTGTCGAGTGTGTGAACTCGAGTTCTAGACATTTTCAACACATTATCGCAATCGGAGAACGCATGCCCTTCTTCTGAACGTACATAAGAAAACTAGGTACACATGTACTACTTGAAAGAGCTAGCAGATTGACACATAACCTCGAAATGGCTGCACACGTTGACCGTGTAGTTGTTTCCTTTTTTTTTTTTTTTTTTTTTTTTTTTATTTTTGCTTGTATCGTAAGAAAAGCAGAAAATCTAGCAATTCATCATGAATTATTAAGTACTTGATGAGTGAGTCAATACTGTCGTATATCAAAGAACAATTGGAAAACAGTCAGAAAGCAAGATGGTCAATTTAGTCACGACGAGGTTCGAGTAAAATAATTGAAATACAGGAAACTCGAGTTATCGAGGGATCTGAAGATTAATGCAAGACATTTCTTTTAACTCGTTTCCCTAAAGTCTCTGTAGTATCTTCTTTATCTTTTACATTTTCGATTTGTTCTGAAACAGTTGAACAACGAGAGCGAATACTAAATCGAGGCCATGATAGAAATACTCTGCTTGGTTGAAAATTGTCTGATTAAGAAACCTTCAAGAACACCGAGTTTTATTATTTCTTCTGTGATGTTTGCTCAACTGAGAACATTGAACAATTATTATTTCGCAATAATCTGCAGGCAATTTCTTGCTCTTCGGCTTAAAAACCGAGACCTACGAGGTTTCGAATACGTGTTTCAACATATTTTTAAAATATTAGAGAATGCTGTACAGTATTATCATAGTTCGAGGCTTCGAAGCGCGTCGAAACTTTCGATTCCAGGTAAACGATCGGTTTAATCGCATACGGGATCATTCATTAATGAAATCGGAAGCGCGAATGACGCAAACGAAGCGAGATGTGCCGTGAAAACAGCTGTGAATATCAATGATGATCGTCATCACCTGAGCAAACAAAGAGACCTGCAGGTCTACTCACTGATCTACGGTAATTTCGCCGGATTCGAAAATTCTTTCTCCTCCTGCGGTGAGCATGTTTGCACGAGAAGATACGCGAAAATCTTACACATACTGCAACTGTGCAAACCTGCAACGAATTAATCAAACAGAAAACATATATTTCGGGTAATGTACACGCGTCCTTGTCGGAATTGATCCACTTCCAAACCAAAGGACAAGATCAGTGGTTAATATAATAAACGTGAAAAAACAAATATTTAAACTGAAAAGGTAACAGAACTGGAAAAAGATATGCGTGACAATTTTACAATGTATAAAATGGTTTCAAAGTGACACATTTTACTACTATAGGTATGATACGAGATGCATTTGATTTAGATGAGTATTCTTCAGGTGTTTTCCTTTCCTTTTTTAACCAAAATTCAGCGACATTTCAGCAACGTGTTGTACATATATTTAAAAAACCTACATTTATCGATCTCGTTCATGTCGCTTTCAATCTCGAATGTCATACTGAAATAAGGAAATGAGAAATAAGACATAAATGATGTTTCTACTTGTAATAATTGGAATATTAACGTACGTACTTAACACAGGGATGGCAAAGTCCCTCGATTGATTGCGAATTAAAAAGTCAAATGATGAAGAAAGTGCACATCGATGATTCGCATCGAGATCGCAAGAAAACTCACATCTCTGAGAACAGATACCTATAGTTTGATGAGGGAGCGATGATGTGATGAGGTTATAAAATCGATCAAGTGTCAAAGTTTACATTGTTTGGAAAATCGAGGGTAGCAACTTGTGATACATGACAGAGGGGGAGATAAGAAACCTCGTTCACGATCGTGTAATTGATAGATTAACCTTTGGATTTACACCTTGAAACGCACATGGAAATATATACAAAGTTGCATACAACACGTACGAGGAAGACAAAAAAAAAAAACTTCACAATGCGTATATATATACGTCACTATAGAAATTTCATAGAAACTCAATTTATATAGGTAAATCATTTTTCTTCAGCTTGGGTTAACTTTCTGTAATTAGGATTAACTCGTTATAAGTTTTGTCTCAATCTGAAGATCGAGCGTCATTGTTGTTATTATTGTTATTACACTAAAATATAGGTAATTGTACAACAGAGAGTACATAAAAAACGAAGATCACAAGCTTATAGATACGTACGATGAACAACAATATCTCGCGGTGCTACAAACGATTGACGTTTTCATTTATAATCTCGTGATATCGGCTCCACCAATTGTACGTCCGATGGTAACAATGAAAGTCCTTTCTGCTAGTTAATCGAATTGTAACGAGACAACGGTGATAAAATTTGTTTGTAAAAAGTGATACGATCGTTCCCGGTGAAGGGGGAAGCGTTCGTGTTGCGTGTCTCGTCATTTTGTGCATTTATTTCGCGTAACGTTCATTCCTTGCGACCGATACGCGCGGCTCGGTTGCATGGGATTGGTTCGACGAGAGTTGAAATATAATATATATTTATTGCAAAACGGATCATGTGAATAATTAAACGATTGAAACGGAAAAAAAATCGTATCGTAGATAGATCTCTGCGTGTATATTATTAAAAAGAGTATATATATATATATATATATATATATATACACATATACATATATATATATATATATATATA